CTGGTCCAGCGCCGAGGTCTGCACGGTGGTGGAGCCCGCGAACATGGTCGGGCGCGGGTTCCCCTCCACTACGTGGGCGGCCGTCAGCACCCAGCGCTCGTCCAGCAGGGCGCCGCCCGCCCACTCGGAACGGAAGAACACTTGCCAGGGGAAATTCTCGATCTTCGCCGAGGATCCCCCGAATATCCGCTGTTTCATCTCAAAGGGCTCGCTGGGGACTCCGCACACTAGGAAGGCAGAAAGACCGGAGGAACGGGACAGTCGTCGCCTCGGGAGAGTACCCGGCCTTGCCGCGGTCCCCTCTGCAACGCCACCTGCAGACTCGCAGGAGGCCCTGGCTGAGCAGAGTCCAGAGCTCGCAGCTGGCCTGGCCTCCGGGGCACACCTCATGCCCGGGGCCCAACGGGCGTCGGAACCCTCGCCGGTCACCTTCACTGCGGGCGAGCTGTGCCTGGGTCCCTTGAGCCGCTCCCAGCCCCGACAGGAAGCGGAGAGAGGCGGATCCACTTTGATAGGGACCCTCCTCCCACAGGCTGGTCCGGGGAGGACTTCAGGCCGGGCCAGTGGCCCTAAGACTTTGCGCCCTGGTTTGAAGCCCAGCCCGCCACTCACTAACTCTGATCTCACATGCAGTCCATTCATGCTCAACACTACCTCCGGGGACTGTCATGAGGACACCAGTGACAAATGCAGCACCGGCCGCCAGGGCTGGTCATCACCAGCATCATTATTATTCAAGTTTTTCCCCAGAGCCACTCACTCTCAGCTCTGATCCGCCTCAGCTCTGAACCTCTCCCTTCCTTGTTAGATTTCCCTTGCCTTAGGATGGCTGCCACATGGAATAACAGCCTCCATGTTAAAACATGGCTTCTCCCAACAGAGGACAGGCTTCTCCTCCCACGGGTCTCTTCTCCCGCCAAAAGAGTAACCTGATACTCGCTACCTCCTAGCAGCTAGTGATGTCAGAGGCTCCTCCAATCTCTTAATAGGACCTCACTCAACTCCACCCCAGCTCGGGCTAACCCCACCCCCCACCCCACTCCTAAAAGAAGCTCCCTGTGCTGCCCTGTTGTTCTCTCTCCTTTGTTCAGAGACAGCCCGGTAGGCTTGTTGTAGTCCTGGTTTTTCAGCTCTTTTACCTAACATCCCTCTCCCCCCGCCACAGAGTCTCACGATCCCTCATTTCTTTTATTCCCGTGTATCTTGTTGCCATACAGACTTTTACTATAATAACTAGCTTTTTGAATGATGATTCTTCACTCTCAACTTTCAGGCCCCACTTTTGTGCCCTTGTGGATCTATGGCGCCAGACCTAACTGGCCCTGACTCCGCCACCAACTGTTGGCAGATGACTTTTCCACTCCCTTGCAGTCGGAGGGTGAGGGAACTCCCTGCAGCCTGGCTGAAGCCCAACAGCCTGCTGTCACCATGGCCTCACCGCACAGGACCCTGGAAGGCCATGTAAAGCCTTGCCCAGAGGGCTACAGCTACACCCAAAGGCGTCCCACACCCCGGCCTGTGGCTGTGGTCCCCACCCACACAGAAGCCCCGGTTACCTGGAATGCATTTCGGCAGCTGTGCACCCAGCACCTCATTCACCCAGGACCCATTAACAGAGCACTGGTACTCGGCTGGAAGAGGGAGGAGAGAGCACAGGTCACACCCAAAGGCCGACCTCCCTTCCACCCCCCAGGCACGGCCTCAGCATCTCCGGGGTTCTAACTAGGTGGTCAGAGTCGTCAGCTAGGAAAACATCATCGAATCTCCCCAGGGAACCCCTGGGCCTCTGTGCTGCCAAGGGAGGGAAAGGAGCAGTTTCCAGAGCAGAGGACCAGGGGGCAGGGGCTTGGGAGATTGGGAGAGCAGGGGAGGGGACAGAAGAGAAGTCACACCATGTCTCACCCAGTACCGAGGCCTCTACATGAAGGAAGCCAGGCCTGGGCTGGGCATGAAGCTCAGCGGCACAGCGCCTGCCTAGCATGTGTCAGTGTGTCAGGTTCAACCTCCCAGAACCGCAAGAAAAAATAGTAACGAAATGAAACAGAAAGAGGAAAGCCAGTCACCAAAACACGTCAACCTTCCAGCTAGAAACGCCTGCCCCGTGCATTCCACGTGGGTACCCGGTCCAAAGCTGGACAAGCACGTGCAGTTGGGCAGTGCAGGGGCTCCCGCTGCAGCCGAAAACCAAGATGACCTCTAAGATTCCTTACAGTGACCTTGAGAACCCCCCTTCCACATGGAAGCTATATCCTTCAGCTAAGCCAAGAGGATGACAGTCACCGCCCTGTCTCCCTCACTCCTGTGCAAACTCTCCAACCTGAAAGACCACCCTCTTCTCTCACAGACCCTCCCTCTGCCTCCCGCGAGGCTGGGGGAAGAAACCTACCGCTCCCTTCATGCTCCATGTAGTAATACGGCTCCTCACAAGCGTAGTGAACGACAGAACCAAATAAAGTATCTTCTGGGTCTTCAACTTTGCCATTTCGAATGGGCTCAGGAGCACCACAGTCCACAGCTAAAAGGGGAAGGGAGGAGACGGATGGTCTGACAGTCTCTTCCCCCAGGAAGAGCTATGGGGCATTTCCAGCCTAACTTCCTCCCTCCCCATATCCATAAGCACCGGGGTGAGTCTCCCCACACCAGCCTCTCCAAATGGTCAGCCAGCTCCCCAACCCACTGAGATCTGCCGGGAAAGCTTCAGAGAGGAGGAACCTGGCTCTCAGTGGCCACCGGAGGCTCCTTCAGAAGCCAAGAACACACCTACTTGGGGTCTTGTCTACCACTTCCACAGCCCTTTTCTTTAGAAGAAAGCTGCTTGCCAGGTGTGGTGGTGCACACCTGTAATCCCAGCACTCAGGAGGCTGAGGCAGGAGGATCTCTGTGAGTTCGAGACCAGCCTGGGCTACATAGTGACTTCCAGGTCAATCTCAACTACATAGTGAGACTCTGTCTCAAAAAAAACAAAAACAAAAACAAAAAGATAAAAATTAAAAAATAGAAGAAAGCTGCTACTCTAATGGACCTGAGACCAGACCAGGGCTGGAACTAAAAGATTATTCATGACTGGTTTTCCTTCACAAACCCAGCCACTCTCTCATGAGCCCAAGAAGAAAGCATGCATCTGAACTGGGACACAGGATCCTGGGGATGAAACCCAGGGCCTCACATATGCTAGGCAAGGGCTCCCCCAGTGAGCTGCCTCCCACTTTTCCTTTTAGTCAGAGTCTCACTAATCTGCCAGGGCTGGTGTCAGACTTGAGATCGTCCTGCTTCAGCCTTGAGAGTAGCTGCGGGTATGTAACCACAGCCCCACATTTGAATTTTGCTGTGCAGATTTTGCAGTTGCCACTGAGAGGGGAAAAAAGTTTCACGTTGACGGGACACGTACGTTGACATTTCACTTTGGAAATGCCACTCCACTTTCCGTCGCTTTGACAAGTGGAATAGAAAGACGTTGAGCTGGAACTTCCCTAGAGAATAAGAAACACCATCATTAATTAACAAAAAGAGAGCTATGAGAAATCAAAACCAGAAGCGGACTTGATCTCTGGCCTTGGGCCAATGGGGAGTCCACACACACACACACACACACACACACACACACACACACACACACACACACACAAGCTTACGAACATCGTGGTCAGCTGCCCTTCCCCAGGAGGACACAGAGCACAGGGCGGGCATCAAGCTAGCCACGGAGTGCCACGACTCACAGGGCTGGAGATGAGCCATTCGGCCTGTGGCTAGGGGAGTCGCGCCTTGGTCCACGGGACGCCAGGCAAACGATGGGCATTGCGCTGCCCCTGACCCAGGGCAGAGGCCTGCGGGGAAGCTGAGCGTGCTTTACCTCTACAATTTCGAATCCTTCCACACAGATAATCTTCACCACATCTTTAAACACGTATTTTGCCTTTTCAGGCTCCCAAACAGAATTGGCAGAGGCTTCTTTAGGGCAGGGGATTGCTTGGAAAACACAGAAGGTGGAAAGAAAAAAATTTTTTACCAGATAGTTGGAGACTATTCCTTTGGCGGGGGGGCTTGTGTGATTTTTTTTTTTTTTCCCCAGAGACTATTCTTTCTACATCATTTTCACATTTTCTTTCATCCTGCTGTCCTAAATTCCAGGGCCTCACTCCAACATAACAGTTTACCAGCCCACTACCCTACGTCCTCCGCACGGCCCCGGTGCAGTCTTACTAGGCAGTGAGGCATTTCTAGCAACACTGACAAGGGTCGAGCTTCCAGAGGAACTGAAGTGTCTCAGGACCCTACCAAAAAGCATCTGTTTTGATTCTACACCGTCCAGGGACTTTGGTATCCACCAACCCAAGAGGACTTCTAGGCTACTCACGATCTCCATGGTAACGAAGCTTCCAGCCTTTCTTTTGCCCTGATAGGTCAGTTTGAAAGACAACATCAACAGTATTACTCTTGGTTTCTATAGTTAGTGGCCCAGGGAATCCATTTCCACAATAAGGACCAAACTGTTGATCTCTTGTGACAAACTGAAAGGAAACAAAATGATGAAATCAGAAGAGAGAAATAATAAAAGGAAAGGGTCAAGTGGGAGCAGGGAGATAAAAGTAAAGAAGATTATAAACAGAATAGCAAATAGGAAGGAAAAAAGAAAATAAGGGACAGGAAGAAAGATAATTTTGTCTTCAAGAAGAAATCTCTTCTTGACTCATGGTGGCACACACCTGCAATCCTAGCACTCTGGGAGGCTGAGGCAGGAAGATTGAAAATTTGAGCCCAACCTGGGCAACTTAGCAAGATTCTGCCTCAAAATAAAAAACAGAGGGCCAGGATTTAGAGCAGTGGTTCCGGCGCCTGCCTCACAAGCACAAGGGCCCGAGTTCAATCCCCAGTATCAAAAAAATACAAAATAAATAAATAATAGAAAACAGCTGGGGATGTAGCACAATCCCCAGTACCACAAGAAAACAAAAGAAGGAAAAGAAGGGAGAAAGAGCAAGGGAGAAGGGGGGAGGGAAAGAAATAATCATCTCCTATGTGAGCCAGGGTGATGGCAAGGGTAGAGCATCACCACGCACGTCTAAGCTGTCGGGGCAGTTCCCTTCCGAGTCGGCCGGTTCCACATCGAAGTCCTCTCTTTTCATGGTCACCACCACTTGGAAGCCCTCTTCCAGCCGAATCTGGTATTCACACCTTGAGTTCTCCGGGTATGGACTGGGATAATTGGGACTTGCAATCTCCCCAATCAGTGCCGTGAATACATCCCCACTGCAATTGACTGGGGGACAAAAAGAGCGGAGAGTCAGACGGCCAAGCAAGAGACTCCGGCCTTAGTCTACAGTCCCTTCTGTCCTAAACTGATAGCCCCTCATCAGATACACCTAGAGCTATTTCTGGCTGTAGTTCCGGGAACAATTATATCCCCAGTACCTATCAGTAGAGACGTCCATGCCTGTTCGCCTTCCATCACTTGGCTTATGTTGAAGCCTCCCACAGTTAAGACAGCCTCAGGCAGCCTCTTCGTGGACATCTAGTTCTCTGCTCCAATGAACTAACTTTATCCTGTACCATTGTGTTACGGTTTAGATCTTAAATGTCTCCTAAAGTCCCATACACTAAAGGCTCAGCCTGTGATGTTACTGGGAAGCAGATTAACCCCACCACACACTCCCACCATGATGTTATGCCTTGCTACAGGCCCAAAGACATTAGACAAGATAACCATGGACTGAAATCCCTGAAGTCGTGAGCCAAAAATATCTCCCTTTTCTCCATCTCAAGCATTTCATCCCCACAGTGGAAGGCTAACTAACAGAACTCATCCGCTTCCCCTCCTGTGCTTCTCTCAGTTTATGGGCAGCTGAGCATGGATGTCAAATGAAGGGTGAACCTAATCAAAACTGGAAGAGAGGCAAAGCCCTCTGGGAGGGCTCAGTCCCTCATGGTGCATCCTCTCAGTGCTCACCTCCACAGTTCCTCATATCATCATGGAGAAAGTATTCTGGGGGACAGGAGCAGAAGTAACCACCAATGAAGTTGTTGCAGAAGTGGCTACAAGGGACATCTGCAAAATCTGTGCACTCGTTTACATCTACAAAGAGAAGGGAAAGACAGGTCAAGGACAAAGGCCCGGGAGGAGGTATGAGGTTAAACCCAAACCTACAAGGGTAAGAAAAAGTAAGACAGATTTGAGCTTACAGGCCTTCGGAAAACCACATTTCGGAATGGCACTATTCTGTGTCACTTTCCTGAGCTGTGGCTCCAGGGCTGGGCCAAACCGCTCCCTTCGCCCACGGAGTTTCTGCATCAAAGATAAACGTCTTCCGCAGGGAGGATTAATGGTCACGTTCACCATTTCATAAGATGCTGCTCCTCCCCTCAAATCTGAACACTGGTTTATAGGAGGTTCTAACTCCATCTCAACTTGCAGGTAGGTGTAGAAACACCCGTAATTTGAAGGTTTGATGCCACCCACTGGGTGGGATTGAAAACCATACATTCCGTGTGCACGTTTGGCTCTCTTGGTTCTCACTTTCCTGTCTTTATACAAGGACGCCTAGCTGGAAACACTGCAGTGACAACCTTGCTTTAGTCGAGTTGCTAACACCACGTCCCATTCACACTGGTTCTCCACAAGGTACTGTTTTTTATCTATCATTATCATCATCATCGCCACTGAGGTATGATCATATGACTGCATTTTGCAAAGGCAACAAAGGAACTGGGAAAAGTCAATATTTTCGTTTTTTGTTTTGTTCTTTTGAAACAGAGTTTCACTATGTAGCCCAGGCTGGCCTCGAACTCAGCACTCATCCTGCCTCAGCCTCGCAAGAGCCGGGATCACAGGTGTGCACCACCACGTCTGGCTAATATTTGAAAGTTATGCAAAGAATCTTCACTCGATGCATTATGAAAGATTTTTTTCTGCTTCTAATCTTGCAGATCTTACCAATGGCGACATAATAGGCAGCAAATCCAGTGTAACGCTCTTCGTTGGAGAAATCCGAGGTAAAGATCACCTGGAGTTTGTTGTACGGGATGTAGAACTCTTCTATGATCGGGGAGCTGGGGTTCTTGCTGGTCCTCTTCCCACAGAGTTTCCCTTCTTCAATGCCCCCACCTCCCGACAGGATCTAAGGGAAGAGTCATAGAGATGCTCATAAAGCCTAAGGTTTTGGGACAGAGAGAGGAGGCCCTCTACTCCCACTGGCCTGGGGCACCCGCTCCCACACCCCACCCCAGCCACCCTAGCCCTCCAGGAAGGTGACAGACCTGCACTGAGTCATACAAGCAGTTCTCCGACAGTTCTATGTCCAGGTGCGTGAAATACAGGTGCACCCCAAAGCCTTCCGGAACCTCGATGTCCCAAGTTTGCTTTACCTCGTTAGGGTACGCCTGCGGGTAGTTAGGGGACAGGATCTCCCCATGCAAGGCGGGCTCTGCATGAGCCCAGGCCCAGAGAGAAAACAGCACCATGCACCTGGGGGGGAAGCACAACGAGGGAGGTAACCCAGGGAGCAAAGGGGTAGCCAATTGGTCGTGGGAGAGAACCTTAAGGCAGAATAAAGAAAAGGCCGAGGTCAACAAAAGCCCAGGCTTCCAGTCTGAGTCCGCTTCTCAGAAGCTTGGGCAGTGGGAACAGGGGGCATCTCCCGAGACCCCAGTCAGTCACTCACCACATTGCTGGCCATCTGCCCATGTCTCCAGTCCCACCTCTCTGCTCCTCTGGACTTTGGACCTGCAATGATGGACGGCACCTGCTTTGGTGGTGAGCGGTCACTGGCGTTTCAGTGTCACCTTCCCAGGAAAGACTCAGTTTAACAGAGCGGGACTGCAGGGGTCCCCACGTGACACCTGGCCTCTCACGGCCTCCCTGGTCCAGCTTCGACTAATTTTCTAGACCAGAACTAAATCTTATCCTTCTCCCATTGCTTCTCTGGCCTTTCTCCCAATTTTTTGGAGTAAGTCGCTTCTCCCAGTTTTCTTTTCTTCTGTTCTCCTCCCTGACCCTGGGCCCGTCAGTCTCTCTCCTCCCCTTGCAGAACAATAACATCCCCATTTCCACCAGCTGTCGGGAGTCTTCGCCCACCCTTCTGGGACGGTCCCTGCCTTCCCAGGGGTCTCCCGGTATGGCACTGAGCACTCCAGGCTCTGAGCTTCTGCTGACATCAGACCACTGATGGGGAGCGGGGCTTCTTTCTATGGGGCAGGGCAGGGCCTTGGGAGAGCTGGTCTGTGGGGGCAATGCCGCCCCCTTGAGGCAGGATGGGGAAAGAAGTTTCCTACACAAATCTCCCAGGGTCGGTTGGTTGGTTTCTTTTATTATAAAGATGAGATATTTCCCTACAGTTCCTAGAGAAGTCTTGCCAAAATTGCGTTCAACTCTGAAAATCGTACATGGAGTGTGGGTAGGGTGGGTGGAGTCAGCCCACCCAGAATAGGTTGTCACCTTTTCCAGTTCTACTCTTTCCAGCCCTGTCTTTTCCCAAACCTTTCTCCAAGATGTTCTCTGCCTTTCCTTTTTCCTCCACCGAAGATCTGCGGCTCAGTTTTGAGGCTTTTACCTTCAGAGGACGATGGGAGCCAGTGCGTCAGTCAGCCAGCTCCTGCCAGCGGTCATGCTAAGTGACCTGTGGGTCCAAGAGGATGCAGATCAGCCTCAATCTTCTGCAGGAACCTCCGGCCACTCTCCAGGCCTGGTTCTGAGCATGAGATTCCCTACCCCACACTGCGGGTCTGAAATTCCCCGATCAAAACAAGGTGGGGGCTGGGAGACCACGCTCCCGGGGAGGGTGGTCCAGCCCTGATCTTGGAGCTCCCTCTGCTTTGGAAGCCAGAACTGCATCTTTCTTCCAGGTCTGCGATCCCGCTTTCCAGGACTCTAGCGGAAGAGGAGAAATGGGGGAGTTTCACAGATTACCCAATCCTCCTTTTCTGCCAAAGGGTGTGTTGCAGAGTTTTGGGGAAGTCAGGTGATTTGTGGGAAAAGGAGGAGACTGATCCTAAATAGAAAAAGCTAAACTCAGAAAGGCCAACCCTCTGGCTGTACACGAGTCACAAATCCAGGCAGAGGGCAAGTACTCTCTATATTTGTCCCAAATCCAGCTCATCCCGGCCTTTAAGGCAAATTTAAGTGAGACAAGGACTTGTAGGCAGACCTCAGGTGGTGCCCTAAAATCCTCCTACAGCTCCCCAGGTCTCGATTCCATGCACCAACCCAGATGCCACCTGAAGTTCCTCAGTCACAACCCTCAGGCCCCATGTGCTTGGAGATACAGAATTTTACAAAGGTAACAAGGTGCATGGACCCAAAACTGGGTAACAACTTTTCCTCCTCCCTCAGGCCCTGGAAAGAGACTTCATTATCAAACATTAATATTGCTGCAACTGTTCTGCAGAGTGAGTGGCCTAACTGAAGGCTGTAAATTAATTCACATCAATTCAGGTTTTTCTGTCAAATTCACTTTGGCACCAAACTTGGAGTAAAAGGGGGGAAAAAAACAACTTGGTCTTCAGAGACTTTGGGGGAGTTTGAAATTATAGAAAAGGAACTGTGGACCTGTATGATTCCTCCACAAAACCTTCCCGAGTGTCTCATTTCTCCTTTGTTCTTTGTCACTTTCTGCCCCATGGATGGGTGGACAGAGTGTGTGTGCATGTCTGGAAATCAAACCCCGGGTCTTAGGGCCAGGGATGTAGCTCAGTGGTTCCACCACCTGCCTCGCAAGCCCAAGGACCCAAGTTCAATCCCTGGTACCAAAAAATAATAATAATAATAACCCAGGATCTTATGAATGCTCAGTAAGCACTGTAACCCCTATCCTAGAGCCTGTATTCCAGTGAATCCAAATCAGTTGAAGATTCTCCATTATTTTATACCTCTTGGAATAAAAAGGCTGTTAATTAAACTATGAAGAGGCATCGCAACTTCAGGTGTGATAAGTCCTATCTCTGGTTAGCTCAGCACTAGGCCTGGATCTGGAAGACAAATTCAGGTCCCACCTCTGCTCTCGCCAGCGGGGAGACTGCAGGCTCATCGCCCTCCCGAATTACTCCAATACAAAACAGGCACAGCTGGGGATGTGGCTCAGAGGCAGAAGACACACTTACTCTGTACAAGGCCCTGGGTTCACTGTCCAGCACCACAAAACTAAAATGAAAAACTCAGTTCTGCCTGCCCTACGTGGCCATTGGGCTGCCCAGTGAAAAGTCAGAGTGAACAGATTCAGGCTCTGGTGCCGGCCAATGCACAGCTGGAAGGTGAGCCCGGGACGTCTCTGAAACCCAGGCTCGGTTGTGGGTCTGACTCGTATTCTGCATCTAACACTGTGGCACACGGAGCAGATGCGCCATCTACTGTTCCCAGCATGTGAGCATTTCCCACACTGGGGGGTCCCCCTGCTGTAAGAGTCCGGGAGCAGAAACAGCCTCCCTGCAGCCCCCTGCAGCATGCTCCGGTCATCCGAGGCAGAGACCACGGAGACCACAGAGGGGACAGTGATGGCTGCAGCAGGATAGAAGAGAAGGCAGAGGTGTGGACCAAAGCACCATATTGCAAACTGGAGTGTTGGCGGACAGCATGGGCTGCAGCAACGAAGGCGCCCCCTTCTGTCCAGGGTCCCTTCGCGAAGTTCCCACTGGCATTTCTATGAGCAACGCACAACTCCTGCGATGAATTTCTCTTCTGCTAAAATCAACCACTTGGTTTCTGTAGCTCATGAGTAAAAACACTGAAGACGCAGTCTGCTCATTGAGTACCTCAAAAATGATTGTATGCATGATGACCAATGGGCATTTAAACCATTCACCAGCTGCTTTGGGCGGTGTGACCATGACAGGTATTTTGCCTCTCGGAGCTCCAGCTTCATCATGTGTAAAACGAGATAATATCACCTATTCAGACCCAGTTATCATTGGCAGGGCCAGCTGAGGCCAAAATTCAAAGAAATAGTGTGTGCTAAGCCTTCCGCATACACCTCCTCCCTCTTTCTGTGTCCTGGCTGTCGGGGAGTGAACAGCTTTTCTCCATCATACAGTTTCTGCCTTTGAGCAGCCAATGATGGACTAAGCCAGATAAAACTGTGGGACGAAACAAATCTCTCCTCCTTTAACTTGTGGGTGTTGGGTACTTTGTTCCAGTGACACATAAGTGATGAGTAACACACCTCTCTACTCTTTTTCTCCCAGTTGTGCTCATTGGCTTTTCACTCACAAAAGTGTGAGCCCTCTGCATTCTTTTACAATCTGAATTCCAGTTTTTGTGATAATGCTGACATACAAAATTAAAACCTTGCAGATATATGTAAACATGAGTAAGTGTTACTCAGTGTTATTCAGCATCTCTCCTCCCCTTCCAAGCTCTAGAGACATCAAGAAACAGTGCAGAAACATCAGATGTTGGTCAAAATACTGTCTTAGCTGGGTGGGTGGTGCAAACCTATATTCCCAGCCCTCAGGAGGCTGAGGCAGAAAGATCCCTAAGAATTTGAAGCCAGTCTAGTCTACATAGTGAATCTAAGGCCAGCCTGAGCTGCATACTCAGTGGCGTCTGATGGCTCGCGTGATAGTAGTGTGGCTCGTACTCTGCGTTGTGGCCGCAGCAACTTCAGTTCAAACTACACATTGAGGCCCTGTCTCAAAATAAAATCAGCAGAAGGGGAGAGGACGTAAATGAGATTGAAATGATCAAGCTATGTTAAATGCATGTACCAATTTCCCAAAACAAACTTCACCAATATGTGTTACTAGCATGCACTAATTTAAATATATATATATATGTAAAGGGGATGGGAAAGAAGGGTTGAAGGGAGGGGAGAGGAGTAAAGGGAATAAACAAATTAAGATATATTACGTACAGTGGCGCAGTGTCTGCCTGGCAAGCGCAAGGCCCTGAATTCGATGGCTGGTACCAAAAAAAAAAAAAAGATGTATTATGCAGAGGTACAAACTCCCTATGATGAATGTGGTCGATATGTAGGACAAATATATACTAATAAAAAATGTACTATAAAGTTAATTTATCCATATGGTCTTTAATAGCAATAAAAGCCAAGATGGAGGACGTAACTTAGGGTAGAATCCATAAGGATGCTGACTGAATTCAACAAAGTGCCCTCCTAGACACAGGCAGCACCCGGCCCGGAAAGGCTTCCTCAGACAGAACCTGCACTCCCTGAAGTCGTCTCGCTGTGGAGAGGAAGGAGGCAGAGCTGGGGGACACAGCCGGGGCGTTCTTCCCATCACCACACTTAGACAGTCACCGCCCCAGAGCAAGCGCGGAATGGGCTGCAGTAACCAGAGGAGCCACCGGAGGGCGCGCTCTCCCTCAGGACCTGGCCCAGGAGGCGGGAAACACTCTCTCCCTGGAATTCCCAAGGCTTCCCTGAACCTACTGAGCTTGATCATTAAGCGTTTGGTCAAGCAGGGAGGTGACCGTACCTGAAGAAGAGTGCCCGGAACACAGCCAGCGTATTCCTGCCCGCTCACCCTCACCTACACCGGTTCCTGTCGTGTCCACCAATGCTGTTGTCTCCAGAAGTCTAAAATGATTCTGAACAATACAGTAACATTAAGTATATTCTCCAGCTAAAGACATGCACTTCCGTTTCCATTGATCTCCTCGAATCCCACCCAGCCCTGCTGCTTAAAACGACTATCAGAAATCGGCACTAACTGTACGTTTGCTGAGACACCAATAACAGAGTGGTTTCAGGTTTGAACAACAAAGCCCTCCCGTTAGCAAGTTCCCAAACTAAAGTTCAAATTCCATCGCAAACTGAAACTAAGACATTAAAGGCAAAAGAAATAAAAGTCCAAAGTTCTTCAAGTCATAAAACCAGTAACCCTGAATGTATTCAGTTTAACCCAGAAAGTGTTCAGGCCCTGGACAGAGGCCTGCTTGCACCAGAAATTGTGGCCCTGGCTGGAATAAGTTAGCTCCTTCAAGACCTCAGGGACTGCATTAGTAATAAGGCAAGCCTCACATGAGCCTCAGTTTTTAAAAGTCCTAGGTGAATGTAACTGTACTGTATACCTAAAATGTACCAATAAACTCAATAAGGAAAAATAAATAAATAAAAAGAAAAAAATAAAATAAAAGTCCTAGGGCTAGTCAGGGTGTAGTGGTGCACTCCTGTGATTCCAGCGCGGGAGGCTGAGGCAGGAGAATCACAGTGAATTCCAGGCCAGTCTGGGCTACATAGTAAATTCAAGGACAGACTGAACTACAGAATGAGACTTTGTCTCAAAAAAAACAAAGAAATAAATAAAAGTCCAATGGCTGAAGAGGTGGCTCCGGGTTTAAGCCCAGGAATTTAGAACCAACCTAGGCAACATGGCAAGACACCATCTCAAAAAAAAAAAAAA